CATTGGGGTTCACACTTCCTGGTGTGCTTTCTATGGGTTTTGACAAATGTATAATGATATGAGAGCATCATGACAACATTGCACCGCCATAAGTTCACTGTGCAAAGAATCCTCTGTGCCCCACCTACCCATCCCTCCCTCCTGTCTAACCCCTGGAAACCACTGATTTTTACTATGTCCAGTTTTTCTTTCTTACATTTTCTAGAATGTCATATAGTTGGAATCATACAACATACGGCCTCTTCACATTGAGTTCTTTCATTTAGTGATATGCATTTCAGGGTCTTCTGTGCCTTGTCATGGCTTGATAGCTCCTTTTTTCTTAGCGCTAAATAAAAGAACGATATCACGCGGGTAAGCCTCAGTTCATCCGTTCACGTATGAAAGGACATTCTGGTTGCTTCTATGTTTGGGTGTCTGTGAATAAAGCTGCTGTATTCATCCTCATGCAGCTTTTTGTGGGGACACGAATTTTCAACTCCCTTGGACACCAAGGAGTGTGATTAGTTTAGTATGTTTCATTTTGTAAAATATGGCCAAACTGTCTCCCATATTACCAGCACCATTTTGCACTGAGCGAGAGTTCCTGTGGCTCCACATCCTTGCCTGTGTCTGGTGTTGTTACTGGCTTGGATTTGCCCACTGTGATAGGTATGAAGTGGTAACTGATACCATATTGAAGTAAACTGATAGACATTTCGTTTAACACCTATTTACGGAAGGGCTATCATGGGCAACACAACGCTGACAAGTGTTAGATAAACACAAGATTCCATTTCTGCCAGTGAAAGCCTCGATCCCAGAGCGCACAGTATATGGCCAGAAAAGGTCCATACGTAACATGTTTCTGTCGTTGTTAAAGAATTTTCTCTGAGCTGGAGAACGAATCTATGTGTTTCCTTGTTTGTGTTGTCTATTGAGAGCGTGGAGGTTTGGATGTGGGTGGGTTTTTAGACAACCGTTTTATACACTGTGTTTTTTTTTGTTTTTTTTTTTTTGTTTTTTTTGCTTTTCTTTAGATGCTTTCCCTCACATGAAGCAAACAATTGTACCATAACTAACAGGCAGCCTAACCACTGCAATGTCATAATACAAAGCCCAACACACTCCGGCTCAAATTAACTTTTGTAATTAAAATGAAATCAATAACACTGCACTCTAAACTAATTCAGTTGAAGGTGATATTAGCTTTTTGTTTTTGTTTTTCACACATCTGGAAAAGACACCGTGTCTCCATTAGGATTTCTATATCTGAAGCTTCACTAAGTAGGGACCTTTAAAAGTAAAAGTGGGGGGTGCCTGGGTGGCTCAGTCCGGTAGGCGTCCCTACGTCCTACAGATTCCTTTACTGCGTGTGGCCACCTTTTGCCTCTGGCTCCTGTGTGTCTTTGCTGGAGTTCAGCTCTCAGACTCCTGGAACCTCTTTGCCCTTGTGCATAGCAAGGCCAAGGCTGCTGAGGATTTTACATTGTCCCCTGGGACACCTCTTTGCCAGGGAGTGGCACCAGTAGGAGTGAGGACTGCAACTCCCTCCAGCTCCCAAACAGAGCCAGCAAGGGTCTTCTAGCTAGGGGGACTGAGCCAGATTTACCCACTGTGGCACTTTCCTTGATGAACTTTCTTGGCCCCCTTCCTTTTCCACTCCCATTTCCCCTCTCCCTTATTAGTTTTTCTTGGAACACTTCTGATTAAATCTTATACACGGAAATCATTTCCCTCGGAGTGTCTTTCTGGGAAACACAACGTAAAACAGTTACTGATCAGTTGGATCTTATGGCTACATGTGAATTACACCTTGAGTTGATACAAATCAAGGAATAAAATTAACATTAATCCTCTTTATATTCAATTCATTAGCTCTAAATTATCATTCTGATCTTTCAATCTGATAACATTATAGAGTCATATGTGAACAGCTTGAAAATACGTTAGTTTTGGTCTCTTTGCAGCCAGTCTTAAAGAAGTAAATAAACATATATTTTTTTAGTTCATTTATTTTTAGAGAGAGAGAAAGAGCATGGGCAGGGGAGGGAAGAGAGAGAGAGGGAGAGAGAGAATTCCAAGGAGGATTCGATGCAGGGCTTCAGCTCACGAACCATGAGATCACGACCTGAGCTGACGTTAAGAATCAGACGCTTAGCCAGCTGAGCCACTTAAGCTCCCCTTAAGAGGTAAATAAAACATCTGCATTTGTACTTTGGAGGGTTTGTTTTTTGTTTTTTTTTTCCTTACATACTTTAAAAATCTAATTGATGTAAATGCTAGTCTCATTTCTCTATTCTAGAGGAACTTTGAGCTTAAGCAATCTTGAGAAGAATTGATATGTAACTGTCAATATATAATTTGAAGAAAAATTCAATCTATCCAAACATATAATCAAAAAATAGCTCATAAACGAGTAGTTCATGTAATAAAAGTGAGTTAGGAAAGGGAAAATTGTATATTTATAGTGGAGAAAACCAGCAAATACTGCTTTAATCATGTGCTCAAGGTTAATTAGGCCGTAAGTCACGTTGATGTTACAAGCACTCTGATAAAATATAATGAAAAAGGCACTTCGCCCTTGTGATTTTCCTTAAAAAAATATATATATATATATATCTCCAACCTAATCAGAATAACTAAAATTACCGGTGTTCTTCCAGAAAAAAATAAAAATCAAAACAAATTGAAACACATTCTCTAGACTACCTGGACAGTATCTTTCAGAACTTTGGGGTCATCAAAAACAAGACTAAGAAACTGTCTGTCACAGACCAGAGTAGCTCAAGGTGACATAATTGAATGTCATATGGGATCCTGCAACAGAAAATAGACATGTGTGGGGAAACTGGAGAGATCTGAAAATTAGCATTCAGTAATATTGGATCAATGTTAATTTCTTGTTTTGACTAACGTATCATGGTAACGTAGGATGATAACATTAAGGGGAGTTGGTAGCTTATATCTGAGAATTCCATGAATTATATTTGCAACTTTCTGTGAATCTAAAACTGTTCTAAAATGAGAACTATTTTTATAATTTTTAAGGTTATTTTATTTATGTTGAGAGAGAGAGAGAGAGACAGAGACAGACATGAATGTGTGCACATGAGTGGGGAGGGTCAGAGAGGGAGGGAGAGAGAGAATCCCAAGCAGGATCCATGCTGTCAGCACAGAACCCGTCACAGGGCTTGATGTCACAAACCGTGAGATCATGAACTGAGTAGAAATCAAGAGTTGGATTATTAACTGACTGAACCATTCAGGTGCCCCAGAAGCTATTTTTAAAATATGAGCCATTAATGCCACGGCCACACTATAAAATGTCATTGCCATCTTCTGCAATTGATCCTAACAAGAATAAATATACAGGTTTATTTTATTTTATTTTATTTATTTGGGGGAGGGGGAGCACAGGTGCACAAATCGGGGAGGAGCAGAGAGAGAAAGGGAGAGAGAGCATCGCAAGAAGGCTCCGACTGATCAGCACAGAGCCCACTGGGGGCCTTGACCTCAGGAACTGTGGGATCATGGCCTGAGCTGAACCCAAGAGCTCAAGCCAAATGAACCAAGCAGGTGCCCAAAGGTTTAACGGAACTGCGTGCTGGGAAAGGAGAAAGTGTACTGTATGGTTATGGAAATTCTTAAATGAATTCAGCAGCAGCAGAGTCTTGCCAGTTTGCCGAGATAAATGACTGTAGAAGACACAGCACAAGATATTAGAAGGAAATTAAAATGGATGGCTACCGATTGTGAGGATTTGCCTATATTTGTTGCTGGACAAAAATGCATAACTTTATGCTGTAAGCAAGGTTAGAAATAAAACCCAGAGGTAAACTAGAATTTACATTGAATTTCAGCAGCATGAAGATTTTAGTATGAGTGTGTTCCAAATATTGCATTTGTTTTTGATCTGAAATTTAAATTTAACGGGGGATCCTTTATTTTGCCTGGCAAACCTACACGGAGGGGACCCTGGGGACTGGTGGCAGGTTGCCTGTCTCTACAGTCGTCACTGAAAGTACTTTACCTTCTACTGGGAGACACAGCTATGCACTTAGTAACTTGAAAGCATGAGGCAATGTCAAAGATTCCAAGATAGGAACTTAAAATACTCTGAAACCTTTCAGAGAGAACCTTTAATTGGAACCGAAGGAATTAAGGGTGCCCGGATAGCTCAGTCCGTTAAGCGTCCAACTTTGGTTCCCGTCATGGTCTCACGGTTTGTGGGTTCGAGCCCCTCATCAGGGTCTGTGCTGACAACTCAGAGCCTAGAGCCTGCTCCTAAGGAGACTGTGACTCCCTCTCTCTGCCCCTCCCCCGCTCAGGTTCTGTCTTTCTCTGCCTCAAAAATAAATATTAAAAAAGATTTTTAAAAAAAGGAACTGAAGGAATTAAAAAGGCCTTAATGGAATAAATGGCATGGGTACTTGGTTTCTAAAGGAAAGGAGAAGGAATGAAAATTGAGAGATAGGTATTTCAGGTTGTATCAACAATGCGGACAAATTACATAAATTCACACAAAATGCTTACTGATTACATAGCGACTAAAATTCTCTATTCTTGGGACTGGGAAAATTGCTTCTAGGAAAACGGAGGAGAAGACGAAGGAGATGAAGGAGAAAGCTGTATCCTCCTAAAGCTTAAATAAGGAGAAGGGACCAAAATAACAACGACAACAAGAAACCAATAATCGATAACCGGTAAAAAATGTAAAGTAAGTGTTTTACAAAGCATAAGAAGCTGGAGGAAGATTCAGAATGATGAGTGATATAAAATGATCATAGGTAAGGTAGCACTTGAGTATTTGAAGGAAAAGGAGAGAAGTCATGGAACTCTTTGGAGAAGAATGTCCAACCGGAGAGCAAAGCTCAAGCAAGCAAGAGTTTGAGAGCAGGAGATACGTGGGATGAAGAGAGAACCGAGTAGGACGGGAACAAGGGGGGGTGGGGGGCAAGGAAGGAAAAGAGTGAATGCTTCAATCAGGTAAGTGTTCTCAGTCTGTGGCATGGACTTTGGCTTTGTCTCCAAGTAGGAAAGTTCTTGAAGTTTCCCTGAGCAGAGAAATGACACGATGTGATCCGGTTCATAAATAAATGCTCAGTCCAGAGCAACAACAGTGGAAGCTGAATAGCCAGTGAGGAAACCATCCGGATGCTTCCACCGGTAGCAGCCAATGAAGATGCTGCCCTGGTGTTTCCATGGCAGCAGCCAATGAGAAAGCTTCTGCGGTGTTTCCACTGTGATCGCCCAATGACAATGCTGCCCTGTTGTTTCTAATGAGAGAAGTGAGGGCTCAGATTACCGGATATGTCACAGACGTGGAACACGCCGGATTTGCTCATGGATCACAAGTGAAAGAAGGAAAAAACTCAGGGATGCATTCAAAGCAGAGAACCATAGAATGGCAAGAATCGTGGGACGTGTAAATGATACCATGAAGGGAGTGAGCGATGGACCAGAGTAAGAATAATAAGTTCTCTCTGCAAAGTGGGTGACTTTTACAATGTTGGTGTGAAAAGATTGGGGTTAGATTCTATAAGTCGTGGGGAACCATGCTTTTATATGACAGAATATATAGAAATAATAAGTTAAATAACAAGATAGTGATATGATATAAATTGCCTCATCTTTTTTGGACTCAAAGTGGGCAATTTTGATTTAATCACACTGCTTTCTTCATACGGATCTCTATAAATCCTGCTCTCATTTTATGCACCACCTCCAGCCCCCGCCTGTTTTCTCCCCGTCCCCCCACCCAAAACTCCCAGGAAAATTACCCTTTTCTAAAACTTGGAGAGGTCATGATCCCAACATCCTTTCTCTTTCTCTGTCCCTCCTTCCTTCCTCTCTGTAGAGTATTCCGTGTGAGGGAGTGTAAAGGGGCATGGGTGTTCTCGTACGTCAATTTCGAGAACACTAAAATGTATGATTTTTGTGGGTGATAAACTGACATGATTCATCAGGAATTAAAATACACATACGCTTTGAATCAGAAAGCTTAGTTTATAAATGTGTCTTATAGAAATCGGCACAATTTTATGAGTATACAAAAGAATTATTATGCAGTATTATTTTTAATAACCAATAAAGTGAAACATGGAGATGCTTGAAACTGGAGTGTTACTGATATTAGTAAAGAGTTAAACAAATGAGGTGAATAGTTAACTACTTAATGAGAAACCTGAGTAGTTAGCCCTACTATAGTGGTAAAAAAAAAAAAAAAATGTTAGTTGCAAAAATAAGATCGTTTTTGTTAAAATAAAAGACAATTTACAAGTACACATTGTTTTTTCATATATTCATATATGTGACTTTTTTCTGTATAAAATTTTTGTTTCTTTAATAGAACAGCATGCTCAGTTAGAAACAAAGATACAATGCAATTAGGATAACAGTGGATAACAGCCAAAACACATATTTTAAGTAATCTGATAATGCAGAAAATAGAAGTTTAACCATCATCAGATTCATAAATTACTTATTACGAACCAACAAGTTAAAATATTTTTGTCATGTTCAAAGAACTGAATGTGATGTTCTAACGTAAGGATTTAATCCCTTAGGGTATCAGAAGGAAGAAAAATGGCTGATACGTTGAAAGAATCTTCCCTGTAATCTTTGCTTGTAGCAAACATTTTTAGACATTGTGCGCACTGCTGATATTAGCTCGAGATAATAAATTATTATAGTGAAAGCAAATGCAGAAGATTTTGCCCAAGGCAAAATACAATGTGGTTTCAACAAGAGTTATAGTTCCACAAGGGCCATTGCGGTGAAACTTCATGGTGTTCCAAGAGCTGTTTTTAATGTAATAACAAATATTAAGCACTTACAAAATGCTTACCCTTAATTGGAATGAGTTTTGCCTGAAGATAGAATATAATTTATGTAATGTTATTTTGCTTGTCACAATTAAATAAATACATAGCTTAAATATGTGATGATTAGAAATCGCTTTGAGTGCTTCATAAGGTACATAATTTTAGAGGGGTTTATTAAATATATATAACTGCCATGCTAGTTTTCTTTTATAGAATTTTTATTTCGGAGAAATTTTTAACGTTGACTGATAGTATATAAATAAATATATAAGCAAATCTGTTAAAACAACAGTGCCACTTAGAAATCCAGCCTGGGTTTCCATTTAAAAGGTCTACGTCATCAAAGACCTGGCTTGTCAGACCACATAAAGCCAAAAGCAAATGTTCTCTCTCTTTTTAACAACCTTTCACTTGATTTTCACTCCTTTTTTTTTTTCCTGTCCCACATTTAATGTACTTTTGAGAGATAAGAAGATAAAAAGAGAGTTTTCTTGTTTTCAAAGCCCTGTACTGGTGGGGGTTATCTCCTTTTTGGGGGAAGTTACCATTTTTTGTTTACTCGTTTGGGAAAAATTATCTCAGGGAAGCAGTAAGCTTGTGATTCTCATATTCGAAGCCTGTGGTATTTAACACTGTTTATGTACTATCAACCAAATTTGAACCTAGAATAAAGAGGAATTATACATATTTTTTCCCAAACAAGGCTTACATGCAAAATATCTAAATTATTTTAAAAAACGGTACCATTGCTGGGAAGTGTGATTCTATGGGCCTTTTGTTCTTCCAGAAGGGACTGGCTAAGATAAAACTTAGGGTTTTCAGTAACAAATCAGCTATGGTGACCTTTGTTCTGATATAAGATACCAGCTAAATGGTTCCATGGGATACATTCTCCTACTGATCTCTCTTAGCTATTGCTTCCAGACTAAAGAATTCAGCAAGAAATCTAATTAGTAAGCAAAGAGTAGCTTTGTGCGCTATACTTAGTTTGTACTAATCTTCATATATATCCAGTTCTTTCCAAATTAACTGCTCTGTATTAGTGGCATATCACTGAACACTGTTATAAATCTAATAACGTGATATGTTTAAGAAACCGTTGTTTATGTATGTAGTGTCTTCTGGATGCAGCCTCAATAATTATTTATATATCAGATGAAAAGAGAGTAAGAGGACTTTAAAAAATATTAATAGAAATGTAAGAATAATCAAGGAAAAAGGAGGAAAATAAGAGTTCTGTATCTGGGCTAGATGGGGGATGGGCATTAAGGAGGGCACTTGTTATGATGAGCACTGGGTGTTCTATGTAAGTGATGAATCACTAAATACTACTCGTGAAACAAATATGATACTATATATTAACTAACCAGAATTTATTTTTTTTTTAATTTTTTTTTTCAACGTTTATTTATTTTTGGGACAGAGAGAGACAGAGCATGAACGGGGGAGGGGCAGAGAGAGAGGGAGACACAGAATCGGAAACAGGCTCCAGGCTCTGAGCCATCAGCCCAGAGCCCGACGCGGGGCTCGAACTCACGGACCGTGAGATCGTGACCTGGTTGAAGTCGGACGCTTAACCGACTGCGCCACCCAGGCGCCCCATAGAATTTAAATAAAAATCTGAACAGAAAAGAATGACATATCAGCATAGTTAAGCTGTGTTTATAGGCATAGTCTTTGCTAGTAATCAACGCAAGTTTAGATTTTGAATAGTGTGGTAGGCCCTTGAATACCTACCTGAGGCTATTTCCCAACAGTATTTTTTTAAAGGAAATGCATCAGGCTAAAATTTAATACAATTGGATTTTAAGGCTCATAAATGTAATCAGTATTTGTTGAGATTCATTATTTTTATTTACAATTGGAAAATTATGAGGGGAAAGGCTTAATACATTTCAAATGCCAGTATGTCTTTTCATGAACTAAAAGTTTGGCTTCAGATCTTTTTAGGTTTTTTTTTTTTTTTTCCTTATTTTAGAACAACCTGAGTGGAAACATCTTTGTATTTGCTCATGAAACCCCACAGCATTAACTCTCTAGCCTTGAGATTCATTAGGACAATGTCATTACAACACTAACCCAATCAGGATTTCACAATGAGAAATTCTCCTCTCAATTTTCCACACGGTCTATTAAAATTTTTGATAAGTCCTATAATAATCTCTCATTAAGTAACTTGATCATTGATTTACAATTTTCATTTACAGGCCACAGTGCATAGTGCCTTAAGTTGTATCCTCAAAGAAGTTGCAATCATAAGAGGGACATAAATCGTTGAGTCATGTTTTGAGCAACAGGCTGGGGTTAATATGTAATATTTCTTTATTGTTTTAATGTTTATTTTTGAGAGAGTTGGGGAGGGGCAGAAAGAGAGGAAGACACAGAACCCGAAGCAGGTTACAGGCTCCCAGCTGTCAGAACAGAGCCCAACTTGGGGCTCGAACTCACTAACAGAGAGATCATGACCTGAGCTGAAGTCAGGCGCTTAACTGAGCCACTCAGACGCCCCTAATATTTCTTAATATTTCCTGAAATGGTAAAGTATTCAATGGCACTCTACTTTGCACGGTTCAAAATGCCTATGAGTCTATGATTTTCTCAGAGTGATATGTACAGTAATCCTTTGTATATTCAATTTAAATATGGGGACATGAAAACATATACATACAATATAAATATGTAAATACATTTATAATCACACATATAAATATAAAAATCATATATATGCTTATATTGTTTATACATAGGCTACTCCCTTGTCCCACGTAGCACAGCTCTTAAATGATGGCAATGGAATCAAAACTAAAGTCCTTCAAACACTAAAGTAACACCTTCATGTTTTAGGAAACACTTAACAATTGCGTAATCTCCTGCATTTTGAATAGTTTATTCTAGTCAATTGTATTGATTTCACTAAACAAGGAAAAATATATTGGTTTTTGTTCCCCTTGAATCCTTCAAGTTTCTGTTTGTAGTCTAGGTTATTTTTCTCATATTTCTCTCCAAAGTAACTTTAAAAAGTATTTTTTCGAGCCCAAGTGGTTATTCTTTCGGAACCCATGCCCGCAATTCATGTTGGCGGATAAAGCAGAGGACAGACAGTCTTTTTCGGTAGGTAACTTTAAGACACTATGGTGTTTATTTCTACGGATGTAAAAACTGAATGAATTGAATGAAGAGGGGTTTGGATTCTTCGTTAGTATATCCTTGTTAGCCTGTCCCTGGTGCAGGCAGTGTGTCAAGAACTTGATATTTTCAGAACTTTCCCAGCAATGATCTTTTGTCATTGGCTATTATGATTTGAAGGCACCTCCCACAGAGAAGACGTGACCTTAAGTGTGGAGAGTCAGAGAGAATGTGGAGATTTTTACTAAATTTCAGACAAGTTGTATGTGTGGGTGTGTGTCTGTTTAGTGGATGAATGCAAACAGATGTCTGGTGAATACCGTTAGAAAGGAAAGGGGATAGATAGATAGATAGATAAAATAGATTATCTTTTTCCTTTCTTTTCTTTTTAAACAAAATCATCTCACATTTTTATCGAAAAGAAAAAAAAAATACATGTTTCAAAAGAGACGGAAAATACGTCCGATGAAGCATAATGCATGACATTTCTTCGTTTGCTGACAGAGCTAGGTATCTAAGGATATAAATTCTGGGGGAAGATGTCTCTTTTCTGTTGTGCTAGTGCAATGGGGAAAGAACAGAATCCTGACAGTGACATCATTTTATTTCCACGTGACTCTTCCTTTGGCAAGCCCCGCCTTTCAAAACCTAGGCACCAGGGTGACAGAGCAGGCTGCTGGCATGAAGGTGACCTAGGTTCTGGAGGAATTTCAAGGCTCTGTTTCATGGGCAACTGGAGACTAGGAAGATTGCCGTGTTAACGTAATTGATATTCAAGGGAGTAGGTATATTCATGGCTTTTAGAAGGGTATTACTTGCTGTTAGGCTGGGGGAGAATTCAACCTGAGAGCACAAAGTTGTCATCAGGAAGTGCAGTCAGCCTTGATCTAAATGAGATCCCAAACCACCGAGATTCCTAAAGCCAACGCATATGTTCTTGTCGTATATATTTTTTGAATAATATATTTTATGTTTCAACACTCTCTGCAGACATCACATGCAAGCTGCATACATTGATTCCGATTTTCCTGGCTGATTATTTCTCCCCTTGGTGGTAAGTCAGACACTCAGGGAGATATTTGTTTTTCACATGAGGCTATAGCATATTGAAAGGACCAAGATCATCAAGCCACATCCAGAACAAATCAACAGTAAATAGAGGCTGTGGCAGTAAAGATAAGATGTGGGAAAGATCAGACTGTACTCCTTTCTAAACTTATATTCTCACCCCATCCTTCTCTGTGCCTGGCACGGTGTCCCGCTCAGGATTAAGGTTAAATAAACATATTTTAAAGTGATTGAACAGGTATTCAATAAATTCATATAGGATGAAGGAATGAATGAATACATGAAGAAATCTTTCCTTCTGTGTGGATCCAATCTTGGAAACGAATATTTTGCTGCATAAGAAATGAAAAGAGACAGACACGAGGAACATTCTGTGGGAAAAATTTTACCAGAGCTGGGATGGCTTCATAGGTAAGAGGTATGGAACAGGACAATTTCCCTTTGGGTCATTCAACTTGTATTCCGTGCCATACAGATCAGATTAACAAAATAAGAAATTATCAATGTATCTGTTGTTATGTTGATAAATAAGATCAAAATATGCCTTCAGAAATAGTCTAATAAATATTCTTACCGATGACTTTTTTTTTATTTAAAATTTTTTCAACGTTTATTTATTTTTTTTGGGACAGAGACAGAGCATGAACGGGGGAGGGGCAGAGAGAGGGGGAGACACAGAATCGGAAACAGGCTCCAGGCTCTGAGCCATCAGCCCAGAGCCCGACGCGGGGCTCGAACTCACGGACCACGAGATCATGACCTGGCTGAAGTCGGGCGCTTAACCGACTGCGCCACCCAGGCGCCCCTCTTACTGATGACTTTTAAGAAATAGTTGATAGTTGGTCAGAAAAATAAAGGTATTATTGTCTGACACCTGAGAAAAATAAATCTATAAACACAATACTTCAAAAGACCTTTAGAAATTAGAAATATTCTCTTGAAGAATTAAAGACAGTACTATAAACATTAGAAAAAAAGGAAATGTGCTACATTGAGAATGGAAAAAGATGTCCCCACCGACAGTCAAACAGAGAAAATGGTCAGCAAGAAATATAAGGACCTTATGTCATACAGTTTTCTGAGTCGCTAAACTACTCCATCTATGGAAACTAAACAAACGCAAATAATAGCGATAATAGAAAATGGAATATGGGATGAAAGTAACCAATGATACTTATTATTCTCTGCTTGGTTAGGGAATTTTCTGTCCTTATTAGAGAGACATTGCAGAGGGTCACTGAGAGGTGGGGGAGGCTCTGAGGCCGTGTCCTTCCCTCAACCCCAGCTCCAACCCTTAATTATGTCATCTTGGCTCTGTTTACAATTTCTATGCCTCAGTTTTCCCTTATAGACAGTAGAACTACATTATCACTTATGATACATCCTCAAAACGAAATATTTATGATTTATCCCCAATAATAAAAATGTGTAGCCTTGTGACCATGTTCAATGCATAATTTTTACCATTTTGAGAACATGTGGGAAGACATTGATTATGGAAACAACGGCTTTTCGGAAACACAGTAACTAGGATTAGACTTAAGAAAACTTACACTGTGAGTTTATATTGAAGAATTGCAAATATTTAACTCTGAAACCAGCCATTAAAATAAGGTGATTCTTTTTTCATGAGTATAATATATGATCAAGGTAGTAGTTTATTTTCTATGCTAGAACAAACAACAAATAATCTTAAATATTAATTGGGGCAAATTGGTGTTGGACACACAAAGAGTATCTTGATTACATGTTGGTAGATATTATATCAACTTTGCATTAAATGTTTAGAATATTTGTAATTATGGAAATTATATTCTACATTTCTAAGAAGATAGCAATAGTCATATTTTTAAATTTTTTAAAATGTTTTCTTTATTTTTAACACAGAGACAGAGCATGAGTGGGGATGGGGCAGAGAGAGAGGGAGACACAGAATCCGAAGCAGGCTTCAGGCTCTGAGCTATCAGCACAGAGCCTGACGTGGGGCTCGAACTCATGAACTGTGAGATCATGACCTGTGCCGAAGTTGGACGCTCAATCGACTGAGCCACCCGGGCACCCCAGCAATAGTCATATTAATAAAAATGTCTAACACTTATATAGCAATTACTATAAGCCATAGATTCTTCTAAGCTCCTTACTTATATTGTCTTAAAAACAAGAGATACATCCAAATGTTATCTCTCTAAACTCATAACTCAGTTCATGGGTTGTAGTTCTCAGCATTCTTCAGACTTAGTACAGTTCAAGGGAAATTGGAGAGAATTAAATACGGCTTACAGAAAAAGCATGAATATGCTTTCAGGTATGCACGTGCAACAGGACAAGAGAAGGAAATTCAAGACTCAGTGAAAATTAACAGTCTAAAGTAGCCAGCATTGCTGCGGATTATATGGCCGGAGAACCCAAATCGCTCCTTTCAAGTCAAGTCCTGGGGTAATTCGCACGGCTTCCTTCAAAGACTAATTCATTTAACACGGAACAGTACGGTTCAGAGCTGAAGTAATAGTTAACATATTGCTTAACTCTAGCTTGGACTGTTCTTAACACTCATATCCTCTTTATTAAAGGATTGCTAGAAAGTCTGAAGCAAATACATATTTTGAGAGGTTTTGTTTTTTCCTAAACTTGGGAACTTGGGACTGGGGGAGGGTCCAATGTTAAAAACAATTGCGAGAGAGATTTAGCTTATATAACATAGCATTGTTTTGGGAACTAATAGGCTTTTTTTTTTTTTTTTTTTTTTTTTTTTAGTAACTGTGATAGTGGGTGCTCTGGCTCCAAGCTTCAAACTTAAAGATCCAAGATTCCTGAAACTCAGAAAATCTCTATGAGTGAAAGTCAACTTCCTCTTTAAGTCTTCCCCGGGCACACGTATTTCATGTTGTGGCTGTCGTTGACCAAAATGACAGATATCGGATGAATTACTCCTTTTCTGAGAAGCACAATGCTTTGTATACTAATTAGGATGTTTGGAATGGAATCAGAAAAGGCTGGGAGTGTAAAGAAAAGGGAAAAAAATGTTGCTATTAGAGTGTAGAGGGCAACAGGCCATCCTTTGCCTCTGTATTTTGGGGCACAGATTGATCGTTAAACACTTTTTAGTACCTCTTGACTGCAGACATTTTATATCCAGGATTGAGAAACCTCATAATGAATGAAAGAAAAGGAGGGGAGGGGCTGGCAAGGAAGGGGATGGGGAGGAGGAAGGGGAAGGGAGGGGAGAGGTAGGGGAGGGAGGAGAGGGAGAGAGGAAGACTAGAAGAAAACAACAGGTTGAGGCAAGAATTCACCTAATGGATTTAACAAGCATAACATAGAATTTGTTTCTAGCCATATGCCAGATTTGGGGAAACTCATTCTGAAATAATTTCAGTGTTTTTTGGTGTCTTCCTTTCATTAATTCACAGCCATCTGTCACTCCATAGAAGTGTGATGCACATACCCTAATGAATGCCTCAGAGCAATGCTGATCATTCTGTACATTATTTTTATCAGTTGGATGTCTGAAGTGGGATCATAATTCTTATCATCATCTTGTTTTTTTTGACCCGTAGACGGATTCTTGAGTCTAACGTTTCAATTCCCATAGAAAGAAAATACGACTAAGTTTCTATAGTAAGGATTTGCCCTCAGGCAGCCTCTGGGGCCTTTGGAAGAATGGCCTGTGTTCACCCCCACACCGTGTTCCTCTTTGCTACTCAGTCCCGTTGTGATGAAGGCTTCTGAACCGGTCGCTTTCACATCTGTCATTAATTCCTCCTTTGGCAAACTCAGAATCCGGGAATGACGCTTACCTTCATCCTTGAAAAGCGCTTTTATCATTTGGGCGGGAATATATTTGCATATACTTGTAGCATTTGTTTAATGAAGTAGACTTGAAAAATATCACCTTCCGCAAGTATAACCAAAAAGCTAATAAATCACTGCTGTCACTTCTTAACAAAATATTAGCTTAATAAAGGGCAGAGACCATACTCACTTCAATTTTATCTAATCATAAGCACACCTTTATGGAAAAATAATTTACATATATTGTATTCGATTCCACGTACGGGAAATGTAGATCTTATTTTTCGAATTAACGGCTAGCGTCATGCTTTTAAAAAAAGAAAAAAAAAAAACTTTTATTTGTATAGGAATAACCTTGGGTTCTGGATAACACGCAGATGCTGTTTCAGCAGGTTTGAGGGTGAAGGACGGGGATTCTCATTTCTAACAAGCTCTTTGGGGCTGCTGGAGCCCCGCGCTCACAGAATTATTTTTAGTAGCAAGGTGTTAGAACGCCCCAATGCATTATTACCCTTTTGAAGCTTCTCTTTTTCACAGTTATCCTTAAATCCCCACAATTTATTCAGGCAAAAGGGGCCTGCTTGTAATGATGGGCAGAGAGCCAGCTGGGAACTTTAGTTATGCTGACGACTGGACGGCTGCCTTGTCCCCTTGAGTCCCTGATGTTCCTCTTCGAAGGGACCCTCCGTGGCCCCTGGGCAGTTCCATGGTGCAACAGCACTCATTCTCGGGCTGCAGCACACACTTTTCTCACCTCACACACACACACATACTCACTCTTCTCCAGCACAAAGCACAGTTCCAGGGCAATTGCTTGGAAAGGGGTTTTCAGCCGTGGCCAAAGACTTTCTCAGAATTGCCCATACTTCCTCCCTGACTTACACGTCCACCAAAACGCTTAGTTTCTTCCCTGATCCCAGGTCTTCAGTACAGAGCGAATGTCAGATAACAACAGCAGCAATGACAAGACCAGCATCTTTAAGGGTTGTGCACCTGCTCCGAGGAGCTGACGAGTCAGCCATGTTTGGCTCCAACTTCCTACTGGGTCACTAGGAACCTAATGGCCCGAGTTTGTATAACAAACACCATTCCAGCGACCTTTTCATCTGGACGGAAGATGAATTTTTCCTCTGTTGAAAAAATGAGAGGGGTGCTTGGGTGGCTCAGTCGGTTAAAGGTCTGACCTTAGCCCAGCTGATAACCTCACAGCTCTTGGGTCTGAGCCCCATGTCGGGCTCTGTGCTGACAGCTCAGAGCCTAGAGTCTGCCTTGGATTCTGTGTCTCCTTCTCTCTCTGCCCCTCCCCTGTTTGTGCTCTCTCTCTCTCTCTCTCAAAAATTAATAAAAATTTTGAAAAAAATGAGAGAAAAAACATATCCCTGCCACTATTTCTGAATCTTGAACGACCGTATGTGCGATTGACTGATAATTTAAGTTGTATTCACATCACTGTTGCTATGTTGGTGCTTATGAGGGGTTATGGCAAATTGACAGAGTAAAAACATCAATAAATAGACATTGTGGTTTTATTCTATCGTACCAATTATTAAACTGGAAAGGTTATTTCCCCAAATATTTCCCCAGTGAGTTATTAGATCTGATATTGTGTTTATGTATTCTTTCACAATAAGTTGATAGTGGATCTTGAATTACAGAGGTCTTTCATTCATTTGAACCTAATGGGAACACTCAATGGGAAAAACATTCATTTTAGGGAGGAAGGTTTAGCTTAACTGAGGCCATGAGAGAGATTTATAACAAAATAAAATCTTTCAATAATGTATTCATAATGGCTAACATACAGAAGCAAACTCTCATTGGATACCACCTTAGACTTCTTTTTACCATCTTTAAAGCATTCAAAATCCTATCCAAAAGTTAAGGAAATCAAAAGTTGGTGAATGTGATGGAAATGCTCTGCCTGGTAGGCATACTTCTTAGTGTTCTTTCAAAAACAAAGAACATGTGAAAAATATAGGCAGTCTTTACTTTATATCTGTTGATCATTAAATTATTTCATGCTGTAAATAGGAACCTGCCAAAGATTGTAATTGGCTTCAATGGGTACCAGATACTTCCTTTGTTATTATTATTTACTACAATTATATTTACAAATTTTTAATAAATGGATTGATTATATCTCACAATGTGTTCAACTAGGTTCTCACCATGTGCACGTGTGCACACAATGCAATTATTGGAGGGAAAATAAAACTCACATTGATGTGAAGGAATCCTTTTACCCTCACTTTCTGAATCAGAATACATAACAACTAATAAAATACAGAGAAGGAAACTAGAATACCTTGCAATGTGTAGTGTGTGTAAAAACAACATCAGAATTAGTGATGTGCATAGCGTTTGGATCTTGGATGTCTTTTTTATTAGACTGAATGAGAGCTATGCACCAGGAGAGAACATACGGGAACCCCTTCTGCATCACTAACAGAGCCACAGGAGCCTGAGAGGAGAGGTCTGCAGCTGCGATCATTTCCAGCACTTTCTACAGTTCACAGACTTAGGCACGTACTAAAGATGGGATAAAAGGGTTCTGACACGTGTCATTCCCTCTGACCATTAATCTGCTTGTTTAGACCATTAATCTGCTTGTTTGGTATTTACTACTGGTTTTTCATATACCTCCTCTTAGTTCCTTACAAACATAGAGGAAAACGTCAAGTGACTACAAAAGGACTACTTTATTTTTTATATTGTATGAGAGGAATTTGGCCAAGTTCAACTATTGAACCCTCATGGGCTGTGCTTTGAGCAGCAGTTTACATTTAAGCACAGGTTTACTGAATACCATCAGCTATGACAAATTTGTGTGAATGGCTCAGTCTTACGTCTTTGAATTCTGACGACTTTTCTCCCAAATGGCCTAGAAGTACTTCTATTTGTGTTCTCTTATTATCCTCCCCCTCCTCTTCCTCTCCTTCCTCCTCTCCCCTCCTCCTCCTCTCCCCTCCGCCTCCTCTACCTTCCTCTTTTGGTACACAGAGTCTATGAGATGGGTTAAGAATTTTCCATCCATGTTTTGTAGGTGATAGATGTAGTAAGAGACGCGTCTCGTGAACGGAGGTGACATGATGTTTTCATTTTAAAGTGTAAAACTTCCAAGGGCAACAAAAGTACAGAAATATTCAGGATCCAGGCAGAAATGTAACACCGCAGTGTGAGAAGTCATCGAGTGGCAAATGAAAATTATGGAAAGACCGGTAATTCGTGGAAAATCATAAACTTGAAGCTTTACGAATTTTGATTCAATGAAGTAGAACACAGGAAGCCCCAGCAGAGCCTTAATGAACATGGAAGGGTGGAGCCCAAGTGTTACAGAAACACCAAAGAAAATGGTTTTGCTTTGCCTTGGCTGTAAGAGGAAGTCAGGCAGCCACAGACTAGGTAGAGAAAGGTTTATGATTTTACGTGGTTTCATTTTTCTCTTCCTTACTTTCCTTCTAAAGGATATTGGGTCCCAAAGTTGGTCTCTCAGGGAGGTCACACGATTGAAAGGGGAAAATGAAAAGGGAAAGAGTTAAGGAGCAAATGCAAAAGCAAAGAAAGATGGCAGCACGGGGTAAAGAAACATTTTACACAGAGATATTCAGGCAGATGTTCGTGCGTTGGATTGTAGGCATTAAAACATAATTTTAAAAGACTGCTGGAAACGGGAGGATTAGGGCAAAACTGTGAAGCATACTCCATCATAAATTAAGTGGAATTGATGAAATAACACCGTGCATTAAAGAGATAAACAACTTGGAAGATAATCATGTGCTCTATTCTCTGAGAGTTTCATTTTGTTTTTGTTTTTTGTTTTTTTAATTTTTTTTTTCAACGTTTATTTATTTTTGGGACAGAGAGAGACAGAGCATGAACGGGGGAGGGGCAGAGAGAGAGGGAGACACAGAATCGGAAACAGGCTCCAGGCTCTGAGCCATCAGCCCAGAGCCCGACGTGGGGCTCGAACTCACGGACCGCGAGATCGTGACCTGGCTGAAGTCGGACGCTTAACCGACTGCGCCACCCAGGCGCCCCTGAGAGTTTCATTTTGGAGAAATAGGTTTCAGAAATGCCCCCGGCTCTGCTGTGATCAGAAATTCCCGGATAAGATTCAGCATATGGAAAACTCTTAGAAACCTGGGCAGGTCACACGATCTTGAAAGTAAAGTCTAAGGGTGGAGGAAACACTAAACCATAACAATTTTTTTATTTTGTTTAAATAAAATAATATTGGGGAGATAACTGGCTAGAT